GAAGGCGCCATCTGCTAACCTCCCTTTGGCAGAGCTAACCCAGCTGCCAGGGGCCAGGGTAGGCTGGAAGAGGAAGAAGCCTTTCTCATCTTGGCACAGAGGCCGGCAGGCCTGAGGGCTTGAACACCCTGCCACTTGTGCCCCAGCTAGCTGCAGGCCTGGCACCTGCTAGAGGCAGCCATCTCCACCTACTCCATCTCCTGGGGCCTTAGGGATCCTCATTCTCATGGCAGACACTGGCCAGGTGGAATTCTATGCTTTTGTCAGTCCCTTTTTCTTGCAGGTTTTCTAAAACTGGATCCATCACAAGCTTAAAAAATTCTGGGGGAAAGGGACAGTGGGAGAGAAGAGAAAAATAACAGTGACAGTGCCAGCAGCGGCAATAGCAGCTGCCACCTTGCCTCCATGTTGGGCGCTCCAGACTGGTACTAAGCTCTTTATAGGCTTTACTTTGTATAGTCTCTTATTTAACCAACAAAACAACAGGTCCCAGTGCCCTGTACTTGGAGTGAATTCATCATTTGCATAACAATTTGTCTATGACCCTTCCCCCAGCCCAGCTCCAGAGATGGGGACTGTCTCCTCCCTGCACATCCTCTGCACCCTCCCTGCCGCTTGCGCCTGGCATCTAGCAGAGCACAGGTTGCTGTGTGGGAATCTCCTCACTAGAGATCTACTAGGCTGGGACCGCTAGCCATTTGCTGATAAGTTTGCCAGGCGCACACACTAATCCAGAGCTGGCCTGAGATCCTGAACAGGGTGGGATACAAACCTATGCCAGACTCCAGCTTCTCACCAACCACTGGATCTTTGGTCCACCCATCTAACCAAGAGAGGGGAAAGACAACTGAGGACCGGAGGAGGGAGCAAGGGACCCCACCAGCATCCTGATTCTCAGGGGACAGAGAAGCTGAGGGAGCCAGAAACTCTGATTCTTGGAGCAGCGCCCACCCTGTGAAATATTAACCCGTGAGCTGGTGGGGGGACCCAGACAAATGCCCTATTTACAGAGGCTGGAGGCTTGCCAGGAGGGAGTAACTCATGGGCCAGAGATTGGGCGTGGGAGGCTGCTTGGAAGGGAGTCAGGACAAATGCTAGGGATCTCCAGGGGCAGGGGTACAGTGAGGATCAGAGATCACCTGGCCTGAAAGGTCTCCAGGGACTAAATTCGCAGGGCAGGTTACTGTAGGAAGATGCAGAAATGGAAGGAGGGAGGAATGCGTATCCCCACTAGGTGGCTACTGACTGGTACCTCCTCTTTTGATAACTAAGCAATTAACAAATACTGTGAAAAAGAGAGAGGCAGGCCTTTGGGGTGCTAGGCTAGGCTAGGAATCAGACTGCCTGGACTCTCTTCTAGCAATCAAACTAATTAATGATCACACTCACATGGAGTACAAAGTACACGCCAAGGACTCTGCTCGCCATTGATATGAGTTACCTGTCTTCATTTTCTCAACCCCACTAGAGGCAGGAGTTGTTGTTATAATTTACGATTGATAGGTGCAGCAGCTGAGGCTGAGTGGCCACATAGACTGCGACAGACCACGCATGTGGGCCGTGCGTGTGGGCCTACAGATACGAGCACGATGTTCACAGTACAGGCTCAATGCTTCAAGCTTTCTAGGGACGTTATCACCAATGCCATAGATAGTCACTAAGGGGCATGTTTTTGTTTTGTTTCCCAGATGAAGATACTATGGCTCAAAGATGTGCGTTAACTTGCACAAGGTCCCCAGCAAGCCAAGCTCATTATTACATGCTACAGGCACAGACCGTTTCTCCTGGCCTTGGCTTTCCTTCTGTGTATGAGCCTCTATCGCATCCTCACAACTCTGCATTTGAGCACTGAGCACAGATGATCCTGTCGTCCTGGCAAGGAGTCCAAGGGCATGTATCATATTTTTGGTACAGGACTGGAAGTTTTCTGAGGGCAGGGCCCCTACAGGATCCATGAGGTCTCCATTATGCATGGGGTGGGTGACCAGCTACTTGCAGGTGAAGGAGCCTGAGCTCTGTGAAGTCCCCCAGCCAGTGTGTTCCACACTCAATATTGATCATAGTCCTTACCTGTTAAGGTGTGTTGTGAACTGCACCTGCCTCATGGGGTTGCTGAGGAGATGTCATGAAATACTGGCAGGAAGATGGTAATGAATAATTATAATGAGTGAGGTTCCTGAGCACACTCTTAGAGAGACCCTTCTGCTCACCTCCGAAACTGAAAAACCAGCCTCATTGATTGAACCAGATATGATGACATTGGTCCCAAAATAGATGACTCAACAGGGGTCTCTGAATTCACATTTCAGGAGTTGAGAACAGCAGTGGTGCTAAAGCCAAGCAAAAAACCTGAGGGCTAAGAGCATCCCTCTGCCCAAGGGGCTCCCAGGACATGTCTGCAGAATCCTCATGATACTAATGCAAGAACTGTTCTACTTTAGGAGGATTGAAAGCTCAAGGCCAGCCTGAGCAACTTACTGAGACCCTGTCTCAAAATAAAATTTTAAAAAGGGCTAGGGATATATCTCAGTGGTAGAGTACTTTCCTAGCTTGTGTGAGGCCCTGGGTTCAATCTCCAGTACCACACGCACGTGCATGCACACGCACACAAACACACACACACACACACATCAAAAAAAAAAAAAAAAAAAAGAAAAGAAAAGAAAGAAAGAACTCTCTTCACTTTTGCAGGGAGCTTTGGAGGGCACCTAATTCTTTTCTGACCTTTGTCTCACTTCATCCTCCCAGTAACCTTCAGAGTCAGCCAGAATAGGAGGGCATTATTCTCCGTGTACAGATAGAAAACTGAAGCCCAGAGAGGGGATGGGACTTGTTCAAGTGTACATGGGAAGCTGGCAGCAGAGCTATGGTATACACCCAGATCCTCGGGTCCCTAGTCTGGAGCTCCAGTCACAACAGCCTGCTCTAACATGTGGGCTCCCAGCTTCTAAGCGCTCTGACCTCTCCATTTCAGTTTCTTCCTATCTTCCTTTCATGGTGCTAGGGATGAAAACCAGGGCCTCACACATGCTAGGCAAGTACTCCACCACTGAGCTACAGTTGCCATGCTCAGCCCAAGGCTCAGACCTGATGCTGCAGCTAGGCTTGGCAGGGAGGAGGGAGAGCCAGAGTGGTTCTGAAAGGTTGCGAAGCCTCTGCCTCTGCCTCTGCCTCTGCCAGGCCTCTACCTGTAGACTGGCCACCTATACTCCAATGGCATATCTAGGCACAATGCCCTTCACAATCTGCCTCCAAGTGGCATTCACTTTTGACAACATAATTTTGCTTCTATTTCAAAAGTCCCCATCACCTTCCATTGCTACTCACCAATACCAAAAAGCCAGGACCCACCTACCAGCATCCCTGTAGGACACACAACCACTGTCACCACTAAGGGGTGTCAGGAAGTTTCTACTGTGCCTCCTCAATATGCCCCCAAATCCTACTAGTTCTGGGGAGCATACAGAGCTGGTGGACACTACCAGCTGGTGCTAAAAAGAAAGGCTCTGCAACAGACACAAGCACAGACAATTCCTCATTGTCATGTCATCCACATCAACATCAACCGCTACATATTAAGGACCGCTATGTGCCAAATACTTCAGCAATGCTCTCATTTAACTCAACTGCCCTATTTTACAGATGAGAAGACTGAGGCAGAGGAAGGTGGCCCACATGCTCACAACCAACAGCATAAATTGACTTGACAATGGTGCTCTATGGGTGTTTTTTGGTATGTGCTTCATCAATGGTTGTTACAAAGATGGGACAAGGGCACTTACAGCACAAGGCCAGAGCACAGTGGTCATTTGTCATCTGAAACAAATCCGTATTTTTTCCAACCACCAGCAGCACTTCTATAGCACGGTTCTGAAAGGGAACCCATGAGACACCCTGTGACCCTGCACCACAGAGACAGCTCTGGCATGTGCCCTCCATTATCTGGTTCCAACTTTTCTGTGACTTCCTTGCCAACCACTCTCTCCTTCACCCTTCTCCAGCTCTCTGTTCTCTTGCTGTTTCTTAAACTTACTAAGCACATGACCTCAGGACCTTTGCACCTGCTGCTGAATGTTCTGCACCAGAGTGTATGGCTTACTCTCTTACTCATCTCTGCTCAAATATCACCTTATTAGTGACCTTCCCTGACCACCTTTTATAAAGAGGTGACCCCAGCCTCTGGTTCCCATGGTCCTCCTCCTTTATTTTTCTCCATGACACCTATCACCACCTACATTTTGTACATTTGTTATTTGTTAAATGAACAAAAATAGAGGCCCCTCACCCTTGACAACTGACTCCTGGTCTAAGCATAGCTCCTGTTATCCTTTTCAAATCTATCTCTCATGGTCACTTTAACCAGTTTGAATCCTAAAGAGAAACATTCTGTGGGAAAGATCATACAGAAGGCCTTTCCCCAGGTGTCAGGCATCCTCTTCCCCCTTAAAAACCTAATTAACTCAAAGGCACAGGCAGAGTCGGGAAATCTTGGATTCTAGCGGTCAAAGAGCAGCCAAATCAAGTTCCACCTATAGAATGATAGTGGCCAGCATGGTCAATTTCACTTTCAACTCACTACCGGGATTTCCTGGCCTTCAGGTTGAACCCCATCCATCCCTTTCCCACCCTGTTGGATGTCCCTTGTCATCCCTTTGGGGAGCTGATCCAGAATCCAAGCCGTCCCTGAGCATTTAAGCACTGCTCTGGGGAAAACGAAAGCTCATCCAACAGGTAGGAGGGGCAGAGGCTGGCCTTCTCAGCCCGATTCCCCCATCTTGCAGGGGCGTCCGACAGAGCGTCATTTTCTTTCTGGAGGAAGGGAGCTCAGTTTTAAAGGTACATTTTTCGGACCAGGCGGCGAGGGTGGAGAAGGGAGCCCTCCCACCAAGGGCCAAGATAGACCTCTGCAAGGGGTTGCGGCGGCAATGGACAGGCCCCGGAGGCAGGAGGGGAAGGATGAGGACGCAGGTACATCCCTTGGCCTGGGGTCCAGGACCTACCCTGGGATGGGGCTGCCCTCAGCGCTGGGAAGCAGTCAGGATGCTTCGTAGGCGAGGAGGAGCGGAGGATGGGGCCCGGGAGAATCCGGGGCCAGAGCGCTTCAGGAGGTTGGGGATCTCGTCCGTCTAGGGCCGGGGTCCGGGGCGCCCGGGGGTCGGCGGGGCGGAGCCTGTGATGCTGAGGGCTCGAGACGGGGCCAGAGCGGGTCACGACAGGGACCCCGTGGCCGTTACCTTGCCCTGGCTGCGGGCAGGGCTGAGGGCCGCCAGGTGCTGCCTCCGGGGCCCAGCCCCTCCCCCGATCCGGCTTCTACGACTCAGAGCGGCCAGCCGCCGCCGCCTCCGCTGTCAACAAACCCAGAGCGCGTCACTTCCGGGGCCGCCCCTTAGCAACAGTGAAGGGGTTCCCCCGACGGGTCCCGCGGCGAACGCGGGCGGCGGCAGCGGAAGGTTCCGGGGCTTGGCGGCGGCTCCTCCCGGGACGCGACCCTGGCTCGCAGTGGAGGAGGGAGCGGTGCGTGGACACTGCGGCCCGGAGTTCGCGTGCTCCGGGGCTCGCCCTGGCCTGCGAGGGGCCGGCTTGCGTGAGCCCAAGGCCCAGGCAGGACTGGGTCCCTGTCTTGTTTAGGGCAGGACTGACTCCACCTTTCACCGTCAGCACTGACTCAGCGCCCCCCCCCCCCACCTCCACGCGACTCTCCAGAGGTAGCTGACACCGCACCTCGGGTTAGTGGATGGGCCGCGGGCCACCGAGCTTTCAGGTGGAAATGGGGCGTCGGCGTTGGTCCCCGCATTTCCTCCAGCCCCCATGCTGGTCGCCAAGTCCTAAGATTCTCTCCTCCCTCCACCCTGCTACTGCCCACCATCATTGCTTTCCTGGATTTCTGCACAGCTTCCTCTCAGAAGCCCCATAGTCCCAGAGTGCTTTTTCTAAAACGTAAATCGAGATGACAAGGACTTTCATGATCTGTCTCTACCACCTTTTCCAGCCTCTTGTCACCCAGAGTATTCAAAGAATATCCAGAACATATAAAGAATTTTCAGTGACATCCTTTTGGTTACTTGGGCAAAGAATCTGAATAGACTTTCTCCAAGGAAGATATACAAATGGCCATAAGTCATGAAAACATGCTCAACATCATTAGTCATTTGGGAAATGTACGTCAAAACTATTTTTTTTTTTTTAAGAGAGAGAGAGAGAATTTTTTAAATGTTTATTTAATTACTTTTAGTTTTCGGCAGATACAACATGTTCTTTTGTATGTGGTGCTGAGGATCGAACCCGGGCTGCACGCATGCCAGGCGAGCGCGTTACCGCTTGAGCCACATCCCCAGTCCATGTCAAAACTATTATGAGATACAATTTCTTACCCCCTAGGGTGGACATGGTCAGAGACAGATAAAACGCGTGTTGGTGAAGATAGGAGAGACCGGAATCCTCATGCACTGCATGCGGGAACTTTAAATGATGCAGCTGGTGGGTCACAGCAAACGGGGAGGCTGAGGCAGGAGGATCTCAAGTTCCAGACCAATCTCAGTAGCGAGACCTTGTCTAAAAATAAAAAGGGTTCCCCAGTACCACCACTGCCCCCCACCGGAAAAAAAAAAAAGCAAGCTAATGCTTTGGAAAAGAGTTTAGCAGTTTCTCAAAAAGTAAGCTTTTAGGACTGGGGCTGGGCTGTAGCTCAGCCGCACAGCGCTTGCCTCACATGCGTGAGGCACTGGGTTCCATCCTCAGCACCAATAAAAATAAACAAAATAAAGGCATTCTATCCATTTACAACTACAAAAACATTTCTTTAAAAAATTAAGTTTATATATCCAAGAAAAATGGAATGGAGATATGTCCATACAAGATCTTTCGTACACAGATATTCATAGCACTATTATTTAAAATAGTCAAGAAGTGGGAACAACTCTAATGGTCCAACAACTAGGAAATGGATATGGTATGGAATGGCACAGTAATACGATAGAATATTATTTATTAATAAAAAAGAATGAAGTACTGATTCATGTTACAACATGGGTGAACCTTAAAAGCAGTTACAAGAGAGACAATATATGATTCTATTTATATGTACACAATAGGCAACTCTGGAGACAAAGTAGATTAGTGGTTGGTAGAGCTAGGTAGTTAGGGGAATGAGAAAGGACTGCTGCAGGGTACAGGGCTTCTTTCTGAGGTGATAAAACTGCTCTGGAGGCGGGCACAGTGGCGCATGCCTGTAATGCCAGTGGCTCAGGAGGTTGAGACAGAAGATCGGGAGTTCAAAGCCAGCCTCAGCAACTGTGGGGTGCTTAGCAACTCAGTGAGACCCTGTCTCAAAATATAAAAAATAGGGTTGGGGATGTGACTTAGTGGTTGAGTGCCCCTGAGTTCAATCCCCAGTACTTCCCCCCCCCCAGAAAAAAATGTCTAAAATTAGGTGGTGATGGTTGCATGTTTGATGGATGATAGTTACATATGCACAACTCTGGGAATATACTAAAAACATTGAGTTGTCCACTTTAAATGTTTAGTTTGTATGGTATGTGAATTGTATCTTGATAAAGCTATTAAGACATAAGCATGTACATAGTTATGTAAACTTATAATTCAGGATGGATTTTAAAATATAAGAAGAATCATGCTATATAAATTGCTCTGCAAATTTTTAATCATTTTATGTAAGATCATATAATTCTATTTAATTTTTGAATGGTTGCATAGTATTACAATAACTGCTCAGTTTTTTTTTCTTTCCCTTCCTTTCTGGTACTGGGGATTGAACCCAGGGTGCTCTGTCACCAAGTAACATCCCTAGCCTTTTTTATTGTTTGAGATAGGGTCTTGTTAAGTTACCCAGACTGGTCTCAAACTTGATTCTTTTGTTTCAGCCTCCCTAGTAGCATGTACCACTGTGTTTGGCTAACTATACAATTTTCTTAATAGAAGAACTTGGTTGATCCCCCAAAAAATATTTTTTTAAATTTTTTTATTCTACTTTGTTATATACAATAGCAGGATATATTACAATTCATATTACATATATAGAGCACAACTTTTCATATCTCTGGTTGTATACAAAGTATATTCACACCATTCATGTCTTCTTCATACATGTACTGAGGGTAGTGATGGCCATCTCATTCCACCATCTTTTTTTTTTACTCCATTACCCCCTCCCTTCCCCTCCCTCCCCTTTGCCCTATCTAGAGTTCATCTAATCTTCCCATGCTCCCCCTCCCAACCCCACTATGAATCAGCCTCCTTATATCAGAGAAAACATTCAGCATTTGGTTTTTTGGGATTGGCTAACTTCACTTAGCATTATATTCTCCAACTCCATCCATTTACCTGCAAATGCCATGATTTTATTCTCTTTTATTGCTGAGTAATATTCCATTATGTGTGTGTGTGTGTGTGTGTGTGTGTGTGTGTATATATATATATATATATATATATATATATATATATATATATATATATATTACATTTTCTTTATCCATTCATCTACTTAAGGGCATCTAGGTTGGTTCCACAGTTTAGCTATTGTGAATTATGCTGCAATAAACATTGATGTGGCTGTGTTCCTGTGGTATGCTGTTTTTAAGTCCTTTGGGTATAGATGGAGGAATGGGAGTCAAAAGTGGTTCCATTCCCAGTTTTCCAAGGAATCTCCACACTGCTTTCCATATTGGCTGCACCAACTTGCAGTGCCACCAGCAATGTATGAGTGTGCCTTTTTCCCCACATCCTCACCAACATTTATTGTTGTTTGTATTCTTAAAAGTTGCCATTCTGACTGGAGTGAGAGGAAATATTAGAGTAGTTTTGATTTGCATTTCTCTAATTGCTATAGATGTTGAACATTTTTTCATAAATCTGTTGATTGATTGACTATCACCTTCTGAGAAGGTGATATTTGTTTTTTTTTTTTTTTTTGAGTTTAGCTCTACTCTAGAGATTAGTGCTCTATCTGATGTGCAAGTGGTAAAAATTTGCTCCCAAGCTGTGGACTCTCTATTTACCTCACTGATTGTTTCTTCTGATGAGAAGAAGCTTTTTAGTTTGAATCCATCCCATTTATTAATTCTTTTTTTTTTTTAAGAGAGAGAGGAGAGGGAGGGGGAGAGAGAGAGAGAGAGAATTTTTTAATGTTTATTTTTTAGTTTTCGGCAGACACAACATCTTTGTTTGTATGTGGTGCTGAGGATCGAACCCGGGCCGCACGCATGCCAGGCGAGCACGCTACCGCTTGAGCCACATCCCCAGCCCCTTATTATTAATTCTTGATTTTAATTCTTGTGCTATCGGAGTCTTTTAAGGAAGTAGGAGCCTAATCCAATATGATGGAGATTTGGGCCTACTTTTTCTTCTATTAGGCTCAGGGACTCTAGTCTAATTCCAAGTCCTTGATCCACTTTAAGTTGAGTTTTGTGCATGGTGAGAAATAGGGGTTCAATTTAATTTTGTTGTATATAGATTTCCAGTTTTCCCATCACCATTTATTGAAGAGCTATCTTTTCTCCATTGTATGCTTTTGACGCCTTTTTCTAATATAATCTATTGTAAATGGAGTAGTTTTCCTCATTTTCCTTTCAGAGGATTTGTCACTGATATACAGAAATGCTGTTGATTTATGGGTATTGATTTGTATCCTACTACTTTGCTGAATTAATTTACTAGTTCTAGAAGTTTTCTGGTGGAATTTTTTGGGTCTTCTATGTATAGAATCATATCGTCAGCAAATAGTGCTAATTTGAGTCCTTTTTTCCTTACTGTATTCCTTTAATTTCTTTTGTCTGTCTAATTGCTCTGGCCAGTGTTTCAAGAACCATGTTAAATAGAAGTGGTGAAAGACGGCATCCCTGTCTTGTTCTAGTTTTTAGAGGGAATGCTTTCATTTTGTCTCCATTTAGAATGATGTTGGTCTGGGGCTTAGCATAGATAGCTTTTACAATGTTGAGATATGTTCCTGTTAGCCCTAGTTTTTCTAGTGTTTTGAACATGAAGGGGTGCTGTATTTTGTCAAATGCTTTTTCTGTGTCTATTGAGATGATCATATGGTTCTTATCTTTAAGTCTATTGATGTGATGAATTACATTTATTGATTTCCACATGTTGAACCAACCTTGCATCCCTGGGATGAATCCCACTTGATCATGGTGCACTATCTTTTTGATATGTTTTTGTGTTTGATTTGCCAGAATTTTATTGAGAATTTTTACATCTATGTTCATTAGAGATATTGGTCTGAAAATTTTCTTTCTTTGATGTGTCTTTGCCTGGTTTCGGAATCAGGGTGATATTGGCTTTGTGGAATGAGTTTGGAAGTGCTCCCCAAAAATATTTTT